GGGGGCAAAGCAGATGACCATAGGCGAGAGGTTAGAATGATGGGCAAAGAAGGGGGAGTAGCCAAAGCGCGGGGGAAGAAAACCAGGAAGGAGGGACACGGGTGGAGGATGCTGTCCTACAATGCCCCGGCAAGTGGGCAGCCCCCCCCCCCCCCTCCCGGCCCCCCAAGGCGCGACGCACTGAGGAAGAAGTTGACCAGCGGCTCCACGGCAGCGAGACCCTGGAGGATGCTGTTCATGAAGCAGGTGTTGCCCAAGTTGCTGAGACCACATGGATTGACACGGCGGAAGTTTTCGATGGCCGTGTCCAGATAGGTCTCCATTGGCCGGAAGCCAATCAGCCGCGAAGGACCACGGTCATCCTCCGGGCCGCCAGGCAAAGCATATGACGGACCATACTCGCTGGAGGTGGAGCCGAAGCCGGGGAAGGCCGACACCGGAGCCACCGTGGACAAGGCCGTCGAGGTTGAGGCGGAGGTGGCCGCCGGGATGGCCGCCGGCTGAGGAGCCGACACCTCCGGCGCCGAGGGGGCGGCAGGGGGGTCTTCGACCACCGGATCGGGGCTCGGAGGATCATACTCAAATGCCGAGCCACTGGAGAAGGTGAAGGTAAGGGGCTTCGAGGGGATGGGAGACATCCGGAAAGTGGCCGGCGCAAGCTTCGGGAAGCGGAACAGAATATGCACGGAGTTCTCAGCCTGCAGTGGAAGGGAGGGATGCGTCAGAGAATGACATGGGGCCAAAAGAAAGGGACGTCTCCATGTGAGGGAGGAGGCGGGGGACGAAGAGATAGATGAAAAGAGGGGAGAGAGAGAGAGAGAGAGAGACATCCGAGCATGCGCACCTTGTCCTCAAAAATGACGGCCTGGAAGGGCGCCGGCTTCTTCTTGACCTCGAAGGAGGAAGTACCCTCCTTGATGAACATGACCTTGGCACTTCCGGCGGAGCTACGCAAGTGCACCCCGAAGAGAGAGAGAGAGGAGAGAAGGAGGGAGGAGGGTTACAGGACCAGGCAGCCAAGGAGGTGGGCGGCGAGCGGCGAGCGGCGAGCGGTGGGCGGTGAGCAGAGGGAAGCGGGCGGAAAGAGGGGATAAGGATTACGGCTGGGCATGGTGTGGGGCGAAATCCGGCGAGTCAAGGCGAGACAAAGCACAGTGGACCAGAGGGGAAGGGAGGAGACGCACTCGCGGAAAGCCTTCAGGTCCGACACATACACGACCTTGGTGGACATGGTTGATGGGTCGATGTCGATGTCGATGTCGCTGCCGATGTGGACGTCGGCGTGGGAAAACGGCGAGAGGGGCGCCCCGGGGGAGAGGTGACAATCGGAGCCGTCCGAATCCGAGAGGGAGAGAACGCCCGCCGAATCCGAGGCAGAGCCGCTGCTGTGAGAGGTGGAAAAGCCGGACGAAGAGCCGGAACCAGAAGAAGGAGGGCACCAAGAGGAGTCCTCTTCGGGAAGGATGGTGTCGCTGTCGATGAGAAGCGGACTGCTGCCGGGCGAAGTGAGGACTGGCGAGGAGGCAGCCGAGGGGGAGGAGAGCGGATCGACCGAGGGCGAAAGGGACACCGGGTCCAGGTCCTGGAGAGATTCGGAGCTCAAGCGCCGGCGCTTGGAACTGAGCAGGCCACCGGAAGGCCGAGGAAGAACCACGAAGTGCTGACTCGAATCGGGGCTAGTGCCGCGAATGTGACGGTCCAACGTGTCGTCCACACAGGGGGGGGAGTCCGAAGGCGAGGGGGCGCAGGAAGAAGAGGAAGAGGAGCCGGTGATGGAAATGAATTCGTCCAGATGCGACGAGCTAGCAGCGGGCGACGAGGAGGGCGAACGGTCCGACGTCAGGGCCGGGGCCAAGCAGACGGCGGCAGCGGCGGAGGTGGTCGGGGAGTTCGAGTGGGAAATGGTCACCACGTCCAGCAGCTCGTCCGATGAAGAGGAGGAAGCGGAAGGCGACGAAGAGGTGGGCGACGGGGAGTAATCCACGAGGCGGAGGGACCCTGAAGTATCTATGGTGCTGGCCGTGGGGGTGGCTGCCACATCACCCGCCGAAGAGGAGGAGGAGGGGAGAGTGGGGTGGGGGGAAGACTGGGGAGTCGGGGCGGAAGAGGGCAGAGGGCCAGCCGACGAGCGCGGGGACGGATGAGTGGCGTGCGGGTGATACCGAGAGGGGGGCACTTTCGAGAGCTTGCAAAGCACTCTCGAAATCCGGGCCGGCTGGGGGGGGGGGTAGAGAGAGAGGTCAGAAGGGGCGGGGAAAGGGGAGTACATGCATGCTGAGCGTTGCAGGCTGTGTGTTGTGCTTTTGTGGGGTCGAGGAGAGACGCACAGCACCGCGAGAGTGTTCTAGTGTAACGAAAGGACGGGCACAGGGGGCTTCGGTGAGGAGCCTGGTGTGGGTCTCGCTAAGCGAATGGCGCGGCGGAGACATTGTCTCACGGTCAGCGAGAGGGGAGGGAACGGGGCGACGCCTGTCTCAAGGGGAGTGGGGAAGACAAGGATGTGTGTGTGCGTGCGTGTGGAGGGGGGGGGG